TTGGCTTCTCGTACGGAACTAGACGGTTGAGTCGAATCTTTCGTTCTATTTTTGACAACAATAGCGAGAGGAAATGAAACGGGCAGAGGTCAAATAACTCAAATTTGAGTTTAAAAAACCCAAGCGGTGGGTAGTTTTGTTTTTCTGTGTAGGATTTCAATGAATTGGCGTTGACGGCGACTCTGTACACGGTAAGAAAAAAGTACCCAAAATTGAGTTCCTTTCACTCATCACGTGGCTTCCGTGGGGCTAGGTAAAATTAAGTTAAAGAAGAAAACTCAATTTTGAGTAATCCTGGCGTTGACCAAGTTGATAATAAAACGGAGCAGACTGGAACCGAACCATGGACGTTGAGATTACGGGGCCCATGTGTTGACCACTCGTCTATCAACGCTTGTGAAAATGCAATGGTTAAAGGCGCATAAAAGCAACCTCAATGAAAATAAACTTATATTTGAGTTCATTTATTATTACTCAATAGTTGAGTAAATTTTAACCAACGCCGCTTTTCTGATTCACTCAACGGCGGACCTCAAATGATAGAACCCAACGTTGAGTTTTTTTTAACTTAATTTTGAGTATTTGTTCTTACCGTGTAGCTCTTTACTCCAATGGTAAAATCCATAAGCAAACGTCAGACTGTGCGTGAAACATGCCGGACTTCGTACTATCTATTCACTCCACTAAAAATTCGTATAAGAAACTGCCAATCTTTGCTAGAAGAGACGATTTTTCGGCGGTGCCGTCAACGCCAATTAGCGTTGCACCAACCTGAGCCCATTAAACCGGATACTGAAACTTCCCAAGTTGAACCTATTGCTGAAATGGTCGAAGAAGCATTTATGACAAACGATGAAGACATTGAAGATCCTGTTGATGAAGTGACACCCTATGTGCTCCCCCCGTACAAAGTTTCATATCCACCCGCGTCATATATGTGGAAAGAAGTGATGAAGGACGAGTACCGTTGCTTGGTGGACAACGGTACATAGGAGCTGGTCGAGCTGCCACCCATCAGGGAAGCCATTGGATGCAAGTGGCTGTTTAAGACAAAGCAAGATGATCAAGGCAATGTCGAGCGTTACAAAGCCGGGCCTGTAGCGCATTAATTTACCAATATTTCTGTAAAAACTTGTGTAAAGATTCCTATTCAACTTAAGCGCTACTAACGGCGACTTCCCCACTTAAAAACTCTCTTTGACAACCTGAAGGCGCTGGCGTTGCACAAATTACACTAGACACTAAGTGCTGGTAGCGCCAAGCGGCAATTTTCAACAGAAAATGTATCGATACTAGCGCCAAATTGGTCTTTCTTTCCTTTATTTAACGTCGGTCTCTGTTTCGCAATCTAGTGCCAATCACCGACGGACATCGATTGCCATCCATTGACGCCAATCGAATGTGCAGGAAGGCAGCTTCCACACCTGCGTAGGATATGGCACCCATTCAATACACATGGGCCGGGACCAACGGCTTTACTTCCCTTCTGAAGGAAGACGTGACCAGAGATGTTTATGCCTCAGAAAAATCCCACCGACCTCGACTGGGATTGAACCCAGACCCATTGGGGTGAGAAGGCAGTCACGCTTACCACTACACCACCGGCGCCGGCTCGCCAAATTGGTCGAAAGTGGAAAATTTATAAAAGAAATCAGGAGATGCTAGCGCCACGTAACGGCGATGTTCCCACTTATTTTACACAAGTTCTGACCGAAGTTGGACGTCTGTTCTCTGTAAATATATTGAATTGGTTTCGCTTTTTGATAGATCGAAATTCTATCCGCCAGACTATAAATATAGCGACTATATTCCAGCCTACCTGGGAGCTGTTCATTAACTACGTAGACAGGTTTTTGGGATTCTTGACACCCCCCCCTCCATCCCCCTGCGTAGACAATACATTTTTTTAAATTTGTATGGGCCGTGGATAATTGCCAACCCCCTGTGATTATTCACCGTGGTCTCGATTCGAGAGACTCTCGAAGCCCATCTTCGTTTTTCATTACACGAACCACATTCGTGTATTCGAAGCTTTCCGAAGCTCATGCTCAACCACTCTCGGTGCGTATGTTATGTGTGTCGACTCCCAGTGTTTTAATTGCGTAGATGTATGGCAAAATATATGGACTAAAATTGTATCGATTTGGTAAATTTGGTGAAATTTTTAATTCAAGATAGGGCCAATTACACTGAACGAATTTGACATATTCCTGTTATGTGGAAGTCTAATAAATTTGCGCTATAAGATAATCCATTGAAAATGATATGATTGAAAATGTGTCAGGTAAATTCTATATGAATATCTGATACATTTACAATGCTGATAATTTGGTAACTTTTATATGATCGTCATATGATAAATGAAAATCGGTCAAATTATAATAATTAACTGAAATGGATTTGAAACCCATAAGCATAAGCTTTACTTTTCACCACAATATAATATATGTGTCATAAATCAATCGAAGTAAAGTTTATGTGAAAATCACATGAAACTTACTGCTTCTTTTGACACATATATTTAATCGATTTCTAAAAATAAATCGAAAAATAAACATCAGGCAGTGGGAGCTTTAACAGTTGTGTCTTTTTTTTATTGTAGCTGATTTGGGATTCGATCCAGAACTGTTGAGGTGTGATGCTTTCGGTGTCTGTGCTCGATTCCATTGGGCCACGGCTGACTTTAAGATTGAGCTCGTTCAATTAGCATGAAGTAAGAACAGCTCTCCCGACATGGAATGTAGTGCAACTTTATGCTCGTTTTGCTAGAGTGAAGACAAATAGCACTGACAAATTTATGTTCCGTTTCGGTGGTGTGGTTTGTTCAAATCTTTCTTAATGCACCTGTGTGCAATAAATCAACGACTAAATTATATGATTTGATAGAACTGGCTCATGAAGTTCGAATACTACTTAGGGCTGGAATCTGAATTAGCCGTGTAGAAGGCTTACAATTAGAATCATAGCAAAGTAAATATTACAGTAGAATCATTTTTTTTTTCAATCTCAATACATTCTTTTCTGGAACCAATTATCATATGAAACAATACCAAACAATGATTATTCAATACAGTATCATTGTTGTTAGTAGTATTTAGTTCAGCTAATCATTTTAATGAGTGTACGTTAACATCGTTGAAAATTGTTTCAATAATTTATAAAGAACAATCATGTAAGATGTATTTTATTGGGAGCGATATTCATCCCAGAAAAAAAAAGCAAAAACAAATGCTTGCTGTTGGATTTCTTAAAAGGCATTTCTATATGACTATTTAATGATTGGGATAGATCTGTTTACAATCTTTAAACGTCAAAAATCAAAGCAAGCTATTACAATGAGATATACATGTTTTCCTATACTGCAAAGTTAAATGACAGTCCAATAGTTTCTACATGTCTATTTACACGCGACATATCAACAAACGTCAAAAATCAGTAAAAGCAACTCCAATAGAATATACATGATTATCTTATAAGATATATATTTTAGTGAGCAATATTCATCATGAAAACAGGTATATTTTACTGAATTTTCTCATAGTGCAAACTTATATGATTTTCCATTAGTTTCTAGATGCCTGTTCCCACCCATGACATATCAACAGTTTTTCACCATGAAATATATCAGACAATATTCATATACATCTTACCTATCGCTAACCACGTTCGAAGCAAAGTATTATCAAGTACTAAGTATGTGAAATTACGATAGAAATCATTCCATATCGCAGTCATAGTTTTTAAGTGATAATCCATTGGAATCTATCAATCATCACATAGAATGAATAAATCTCCTGACATTGCTATGTTATAAGATGGATCCAATAAACGGTACATGTCGATTTGTTTCAGTGTACTTCCTATTCAGTACACGTTTGATTTTGACAACAAGCTCGATAATTTATTATTTCATTGATTTTGGACCACCATTAAAATTGTAATCACAAGGAGCAAAAATACGTTATTTTTGAAATCCGTGGCCCGTGCTGAAAACGAACGGTTTGTGTTTTTTTTTTGCCAAAATCGAGCGGTTACTGTACTATGTATAACGTACAGAACGAGACTAAAATCGATTGTCACTAGTTGGACTTTTCAGATTCCAATTGAACCGAAAATATCAAGGGACACTTGCAAGTCTACGGTCCATAATATGTTTTATTATCTTTTTTCTTGTCTAAACGACTGCCTAAGCAGAGGAGGGCACTCTAAAATATCTATTGAAGTATGTTCTACGACTTCTACGAAATACAACTGATTCCACGCCCTGCGCCAAAACGTGATTCAATTGAATTCAAACCTCTAGATCTAGAACATCATTTGGCCTGAGTTTCGATCCCAATCATCTGGTTATTCATATTTTAATTCCTCGAGTAGAGTTCCAACTAACATATATATAACATCATAGAATCGCGTAATTAATATGTGACGTCATAGCGATTTGATTCAATGCACCACTTTGTGTGCTCGATCAGATCATCCCAGCCATCCAGCAGACTGCGTGATATGTATCTTTCACACGTCAATCATTTCGCTTCTATGACTATCCATTAGCCAGGTGGGAAACCCATGAGTAAGCCCCAATCACGGTACATAACTATCAAAGATAGGTTATTTTTGTTTTTGAAAACAGTAGAACTTGTTTTGGCGCATCGCAACGCCTACGGCGAGAACAAGACAGACAGCCATAAATTTGCAATTAGGTATCCATTTCCCATGTCTTCAAAGGTATTCTGTTCGAACGTCTTTGTTTTCGTTCAATTCCTGGAAATGCCGTGGGCCTTCAGCATCATGATCATCTTCTCGCGGACAAAGCAGAATACCACAATCAAGGTCGCTAAAAACTACTTCGCAAGCTCCTATCTTTATGACACTGGACTGTCGTCTCTGTAACGATGACCCTCTTCTCTTACCGGTGTAGGTTAATAACACGAGAGTCGAAATATTTAATAAAAGTAAATCAGCTTCGCCACACTCTTTCAGTTCTGCTTTGGGTGCTGATCGTGTGCTTTCCTACTGCATCGAGCCAGTATATGTAGTTGTTGTTCTAAGAGAGAAAGATGGCGCAATTCGGTATCTATTTGGTGCTGCTAGCAATCTCGCTGTATTCGGCGGGAACTCATGCAGGATTTATGGACTGGTTCCGCAGTAAGGACAATAAAGGACACAGTGTTTGCAAGGTGGATTTTGAAGTGTTGGACCCGCAAGGACTTAGATTGTGGACTGCGCACAAACAGGAGATGAAGACGTTTGGTGTGGAAGTGTACATCAATCCGAGTGGCAGAAGTAACGAACCACCGGTGTGTAGTCTTTGTCAGTATACGACCTCAGTTGTTCATGGTAAATTCTTCATACAAGATGATAACGTGATCGTGAAAAAGGGTGATGTTTTGGAATATATTGCTATTACTGATAATGGAAAGACGACTCAGAGGCATAAGCCGAGGAAGATTGTGGTTAATGGTGAGTTAAGTTATTGTATTTTGCATTTCTAACTGGGCTTCTCAATAGTTCAGAATCGCTAATAAAAATGCGCTTCAAGTATCATGTGAATCAAGTACTAGTGCGCCAAAGACACCAAATCAATTAAATTGTAAAAGTACTCTTTTATTCGCGTTTTAGCACTTTTGAACATAAACATTGAAAGCTATCATTCTATGCAAAACATTGTCAAATTCTAGACTACATCATCAAACCAAAAGGACGTTGTGCCTGCCCAGCTCCCGTCGAACCTTCAACCGTCCACGAATTGAACTCCACCGCCGAGATTGAACTACTAGAACGGGTCATCACCAACCTTTCGAATCGCTGTGCCGAGGGACTTGTTTCGAACTTCCTCTTCCTGCAAGTTGATAACGCGGTGGGACCGGATAACCTCCTAGAGCGAGTGAAAACATACTTCTCGGCAAATCCGACGCTCGAACCCTACGTTGGTTCAATTACATCCGCCGAAGACTATTCGGATGGGATTGCCTTTCAGGTGAAATCGATTGTCGACAAACTGAAGATACTGGAGCTGACGCATACCGGTAACGATATCCTCGACTACGACCAGACCAACGTAATTGGAAATATTGACATCAGAATATCGGATAGACCGTGAAAACGCAGAAGCGCTTCTAATGTTTCATGTTCTTGTGCTTGTGGTTGGACGATTGGAATGCAAATAAAACTTACATTGCAAATTGATAGCTCTCACCCGTCCGAAAGGGGGACGACTTTTTTATTTACAGTCCATTAAAACTATCCTGGGGGGGAGGTAGCTCATCGATTCTTCCGGTTCGCCTCCTAGCATCGTGCTATAAGGTACCAGGCGATAACCAGGGTAGTCGATCGATAGCTCGATGACGTCATTTCGTTGGCGTCTGCAATGGGAAATTCTCATAGCAGGCGTTGACGATGGGACGTTGTCGAGTTGTTGAATAGCAACTATCGTGGTAACTCACCGATTACCTGTCGATCTGCCAAATTTGGAAAGACGTCTGCATTGAATTGTCTCATATAATAATATTCCGCCCACTATATCACAAGAAATTGCGAGTAGCTGAGTGGAATGGAGATAAGTTAAGCATTGGGTACAGGACCAAGTCTCCCCTGGGTGGTGCCAGAAGATGAGCGCAATAGAATCATCAAGTTGCCATAAGGCACGGAATGAGACTATTGCATGGCTGGGTAGTCAAAGTCTTCCATTCGTTAGTCATTTCAAGTGGATTAGAACAGGTTTAGGTTTAGGGTGGGCGTTGGCCAGATTTGGATTTTTCAGATATAATCCTAAATAGGACCTAGATTATTTAATACACTAGTAACCTCAACTTCTGTCACAATGTTTCATTGTGACTAATCAACACTCAATGGGTAAAATATCAAAATAACGGTAAATTTGAAAAAAAAGGTAACTTGGCGTGTAGAGCGCACTGCCCATTGGACGATTCTGAAGCCTGACCAAGTGAGTGGCCTACGGGTTTATTTGATTGTACGTCATTTCCAAGTTATATATAGATACATTCATACCATTGGCATTTTGTATTTGAGATAAGACAGAGACAGGATGCGGAGGGCCTGCTTAGGGGGAGCGTAACCCATGTTATGGCTTCCATTTATTAAATAGTTCAGATAGGCTGGAAATAATAGGTTCATGGTGAGAAAATGTACCATATGGTGCCCGTTCACTGATCAAAAGTATATTCAAATCGTCAGGCCCTGCCCTGGAATAAGGGGATTGACGATGATTTGTCAAGTTTCATTTTGCATTTGCATATAATTGTAAGTTTAGGTTTGCTTTTGTAATTGTTAGATAGATAGTTTGCCTCAATTGAAACATTGAGTTGTATAAACTTGACGAATCATACCTCTAAAATAGTAGTAATTACAGTGCCGCATTATCTAACAACCACTGCCTGCAACTAATGTTGAGGGGTCGGCAGGGCTGATTACGGATCAAAACTAACATAACTCTTACACTGAATTGATAGATATTGGGTGGAACGCGTCGGAATGTTTAGAAAAATAGGGCGCACGCTTGATCCGGTTTAAGATACATTGTTGACTGCTTTCGGGAACGTGATTTCATTTTAATAACTTGTTTACTTGTTTAACCATTGAACGTCGCGTGAAAGTGGAACTTAATGAAGGCATCAGTGCTTTTTCGTAACTTTTAGTTTTCGGATTAGAAAAATCATCGGTTGCAGGACAGTGTTACCGATTTATATTGGATAATCCAAAGCTATGTTGATCATTATAACATTAAATTTTGAATAACAAATGATAAGACAATCTTATTCAAAAGTCGTAATAATACCTCTGACCAAGGAAAAATGATTTATATAGTTTTCATAAAAGTTGACGATACAAATACTAATGAGGAAAGGAATTCCGCATTTCCTTTTCCCAAGTCCTTTTCCTCTCCTTCCCTTCCCTTCTTCTCTTTTCAGAATGCGAGTAATGGCGCTATAACCATATGCCATATAGGGCTAGGACAAGAGTTAGTGCTCAGGTCCCAACCGCTAGAAGAAAATGGTAGCGAGCAAGGGCGCTATAACCTAGGCGAATACAGCATTTCCTCCGTATAGGTTACGTCCGCACACCGCTCTCTGTTGTCCTTCGACTGAGGTCGGCTGGATCGATTGAGGGATGGCAGTGGGTTGGCGGTGCCGTCCACGCTTGTACGGAGGGAGGACTGTACGCTCGAACACAAGGGGTAAATACCTGTGTTCCACCCCAGGAGATCGGACAACCAAGGAGTGTACATTAACTTTCTTAGCTCTGTCACTCCCAACGATTTATATAGCTTATTTTCAAATCCTGCATACGGAGCGGTTGGTACGGTATGTCCCCGCTCTTTGATTACCTGTGGATTAAATGTTAACCACTGTCTATACTTATTAAGTAGACATGGTAAACATTCACTTCCACAAAAATTAACTAAACGCTACACAGTAGGCCTGGCCGCTTTATTGTTTGTTTCACATCCTTGATGTGCAGCAGGCATTAATAATGACAAGAAAAATGATAGATGTATCATTTTCCAGGATTCTTTCAAGTACTGGCTGTGTATGTGTAGACTAGACTAGACTAGACTAGACTAGACTAGACTACAGTCCATTAAAACTATCCTGGAGTGCTTATTGACTGGTGTTTTTTGTGGTATGATACTCAGTCATGTTCATAAAATCTTGATTTATCATTCAATATCCATTCTCATGTCCAAACAATATTAGAAGTCTTCTAAATCGTTCAAGAGTTCAGACCATATGATCTACTTGATCAACCAGACCTTACACAATATCCTTAGGAAACAGAACATATCGAAACATATTCATGGACCCTATACGTATCTAATAAGATCATATTCCATTGTGTATAAGATGTTTTAAGTTCTTCTAACCTTCCTGGAGATTTGATCATTCTAATGATCAACCAAGTATGGAATAATGTCCCTAGCTTCATAACATGTCCAAGTAGATTCATTAAGTCAATACTCCCTTATTTATGATCCCTTTCTATGTATATCCGATAATCTAGGATCTTTCAATAGTCCTGGTGTTTATATCAAATGATCTACAAGTTCAACTACGGCTGAGAAAATGTCAATGGCATCGAAACATATTCAAGCAGATTCATTTCCATACATATCAGATGTTCTAGCTTCTCCCAATCACTTTGAAGTTGAGATCAAATGACTTACTAAATTAACCACGACTGAGACAACAGTCTTAGCATAAAATCATGTCCTAACAGACTCATACACTGAAACAAATCGACATGTACCGTTTATTGGATCCATCTTATAACATAGCAATGTCAGGAGATTTATTCATTCTATGTGATGATTGATAGATTCCAATGGATTATCACTTAAAAACTATGACTGCGATATGGAATGATTTCTATCGTAATTTCACATACTTAGTACTTGATAATACTTTGCTTCGAACGTGGTTAGCGATAGGTAAGATGTATATGAATATTGTCTGATATATTTCATGGTGAAAAACTGTTGATATGTCATGGGTGGGAACAGGCATCTAGAAACTAATGGAAAATCATATAAGTTTGCACTATGAGAAAATTCAGTAAAATATACCTGTTTTCATGATGAATATTGCTCACTAAAATATATATCTTATAAGATAATCATGTATATTCTATTGGAGTTGCTTTTACTGATTTTTGACGTTTGTTGATATGTCGCGTGTAAATAGACATGTAGAAACTATTGGACTGTCATTTAACTTTGCAGTATAGGAAAACATGTATATCTCATTGTAATAGCTTGCTTTGATTTTTGACGTTTAAAGATTGTAAACAGATCTATCCCAATCATTAAATAGTCATATAGAAATGCCTTTTAAGAAATCCAACAGCAAGCATTTGTTTTTGCTTTTTTTTTCTGGGATGAATATCGCTCCCAATAAAATACATCTTACATGATTGTTCTTTATAAATTATTGAAACAATTTTCAACGATGTTAACGTACACTCATTAAAATGATTAGCTGAACTAAATACTACTAACAACAATGATACTGTATTGAATAATCATTGTTTGGTATTGTTTCATATGATAATTGGTTCCAGAAAAGAATGTATTGAGATTGAAAAAAAAAATGATTCTACTGTAATATTTACTTTGCTATGATTCTAATTGTAAGCCTTCTACACGGCTAATTCAGATTCCAGCCCTAAGTAGTATTCGAACTTCATGAGCCAGTTCTATCAAATCATATAATTTAGTCGTTGATTTATTGCACACAGGTGCATTAAGAAAGATTTGAACAAACCACACCACCGAAACGGAACATAAATTTGTCAGTGCTATTTGTCTTCACTCTAGCAAAACGAGCATAAAGTTGCACTACATTCCATGTCGGGAGAGCTGTTCTTACTTCATGCTAATTGAACGAGCTCAATCTTAAAGTCAGCCGTGGCCCAATGGAATCGAGCACAGACACCGAAAGCATCACACCTCAACAGTTCTGGATCGAATCCCAAATCAGCTACAATAAAAAAAAGACACAACTGTTAAAGCTCCCACTGCCTGATGTTTATTTTTCGATTTATTTTTAGAAATCGATTAAATATATGTGTCAAAAGAAGCAGTAAGTTTCATGTGATTTTCACATAAACTTTACTTCGATTGATTTATGACACATATATTATATTGTGGTGAAAAGTAAAGCTTATGCTTATGGGTTTCAAATCCATTTCAGTTAATTATTATAATTTGACCGATTTTCATTTATCATATGACGATCATATAAAAGTTACCAAATTATCAGCATTGTAAATGTATCAGATATTCATATAGAATTTACCTGACACATTTTCAATCATATCATTTTCAATGGATTATCTTATAGCGCAAATTTATTAGACTTCCACATAACAGGAATATGTCAAATTCGTTCAGTGTAGTGAGCTGTCTAGCGCATTAGGGTCTATTCAGATCTGAGCGTGCATTAGCGGAGCGGGGCAAACTTTGTGATGGCACAAGAGAAAGAACTAGTACTTTTCTCCCTCTCGTACCTGTGCAAAATCTCTCCCAGTGTGTAAAATATCGCTCAGGACCGAATCCACCTTTATTGTACGAATATTGCGCACTACTTCCGACACTATGTAGGAGAGAAGATGTACCAGTTATGACTAT